GCGCGGCCCCAGCGGTCACTGGAGTTCGGGGGCTCCTGCCTTGGGCCTTCTCGAAGCGCTCAGGCTGCGTCCGGGAGAGTGCCCGTCACTGCCGCTATTCCTACCAGAGGTGCCGGCGCAGGGAAGTGCCTTCCTGCTTCGCTTGTCCTCAGAGCCCTTCTCAGGGTGTTTTGCTCCTTGTTCCGTTAAACAGTCCCATCAAACCCATCATTGACGGGGAGAACCAGTAGGTTGATCCTTAGTGGTGGTGCTTGTTCTGGAGTGAGGTTCTTTCTTTTGAGTCAAAAAGCATTATCTTGTTCAGTGAGCTTGATGGTTGTCCTACAATTTGTAGGTAAGCCTTTCCCTTAAAAAGCGCCAAGTCAGTAAGAGAATAATAAAAACTTCCTTAGTCCTGATGCAGACCAGGTAGCTGCTTGACTAATATAGCTTAGCCACCTCTCAGTTGCTTCTGAGATTAGATTTAAATGATTAAAACTGCACTGTTTTGGAAGTGGACATACAGGAATCTGTGAAACCCCATTTCAGTGTCAGCCCCTGGATTTGGTAGCTCTTAGGGAGGAAACCCCAAGATATAATGACCCTGAGCACTTAATACTGCAGCCCCAACTCCGCCTGAGGTGGTAGCTGCAGCAGCGCACAGTTGTGTGCCTGAAGCAGCACTGAGATGCTGGAGAAACTTTTTTTTTTAATCTCTTTTTTTTTTTTTTTTTTTTGCTTTCCTTCAGACATCAGAGATAAGCTTCCCCTGCAGTTATTAATTTGGCTAATGGCCAGGGCTGTAGGTAGACTGCGGTTCCCTTGTTCTTGAATGCTTCTTATCTTGACTATGGAAGCAATGTAGACCTTGGCTGGTAAGAGAGGCTTTCATATAATTTTCTTTACCAGGAGACAGAGAGAGATTTATATACATACACATCTATATATATATAGAGAGAGAGATTACTGGGCAGAAATCTAGCATTTCTTTTGGGCTATGGGAGAGAGGAAAGGAAGGTGATCAGATTACAAGTGCTATTGATAAGTCTGACTGGAGGACCTCAGCGTATGCATGCAGTGCTGTAATGATGCATTGAAAAACATTGCTTTAAATAAAATATATGATATTTTATTCTCCTCATCCAGATTACAGGGCCCGATAATAAGGGGATTTATAAAGGCGACCGAGAGTCCAGTGGAAAATACACATTTGCTGCCCACATGGATGGAACTTACAAGTTTTGCTTTAGCAACAGGATGTCCACCATGACTCCCAAGATAGTGATGTTCACTATTGATATTGGGGAAGCTCCAAAGGGGCAAGACATGGAGACAGAAGGTGAGGAAAACCCC